GAACTGGTCACACGTCTCTTTTGCCTTCAAAGTTCACTCGAGGTTAAGGTGGTTTCGGAAAGTAAATGAGCTAAGAGTGTGTCTTGTCGAATGATAGTAAAGAACGTTCGATTTTCTATTACCCATTCGATGTAATTGAAAAGCCAGACAAACTAGCAGTTCCATTGACAAGGGCGGGCGAATGCCCATCTTGAGGGCGATCTAGCTATTTTGAGAAGGCAATCAGAGAATTTCGCGCATGATCTGAGTAGTGAAGGCTTTCCGTATGGCTTAGTTTACAATACAAACAAAAACAAAAAGAATCTACAGTAATTACTCATGAAATAGGAAGGAATGCAGGGTGCAATCATCCAGAGCAAGTCGTTGGCGTTACTACAACATTTGAACTCACGCATTGTCTCCAGTCACGAAGTGGCCGATACACAGAATAGTGAGAGGCAGTTGAACACTGAATAAGGGCATTGTAGCGACTGTGTCGGATGGTCATGATAATGGGGTTTACGGTATGAGGAACGCCCATGAAATTCATTTCTCAAAGTGGACAGAAAAACCTACTATCAATTGAGTATTAACAGCGTGCTTCATAATTATTGCCATGAAAATCCACAGATAGCAATTTCTCATTTGTACATCTCTCATTCCTTCGTTGTAGTGGCTATGCAGCTGGTTCTGATATACGATAGTTTCAACCAGTGATTCAGTCCCCTGTCGGGATGAGCTTCCGCACTTGACTTTTTCCGCTCAAGCTGATTATTCCCTCTGTCCTTTGTTCATTGTCCGCAAGTAGAGTCACATATTCTAAAGCTGTTTTCACATCGACAACATGGAATGGAACTTGTTTCCCGACACATGCGCATGCGCTTTATCGGTTAGCACTCACAAAAAGGAAGTTTCTGTTCATGAGCTCTAGAAGGCTTTGAGCTCCACGGACTTTTGTACTCAGTGTTCAATGAACTCAGTTAGTCGATCAACATGCTCTGGATGAACTTGGTTTTGCGACTGCACGTTGCACATTGTCAAGTCGATTGGTACTCTGACTTTCAGCAATCAGCTGGTGACTCTGTCCCATTTCATTTTCATCACCATGCCTCATATAGTGAGTATTATCAGGTAAGTTTATCAACTGGATAGCATCGTATACGCTTATCAGATCACAGTAAATAGTGCATATAAGCAAAGTTGATTCCGAGTATATCTCAATTGTGAATTCTTCTACGCCCATACCGGCTTATGGCCAGGAGATCCCGAAGCGAGGATGTACGCAAGTCAAGGAGTAGTCCTAGCAAAGTCGTTAGGAAGAAGAAGATCAACGTCGATGGTGATGAGGCGAGTCTNTACCATAGTCTGTTATTCGCACCAGGACCCACACGTACGCAATGACACACGTTGTATAGCTCCCCCAAACGCCCCATCCTTCTTCATTTTCCTGGTTAATTCTCGTCCAGCCCCTTTTTGACGGATTTTCGAAGTCTTTTTTCACTTCGAAAACACCGATCCACGCAGTTCCTTCGCCATCTATGCACTATTTTCCATCTTATTTTCCATGTTTCGTCATAAGTGTCTGTAATAAACACTACTGAAGCCTTATCGAGTATAAATTCTTCTCATCATCTACAACATATGTTTATTTTGCTTGATGAGGAACGTTACCTTTGCTGATCACAACCTGTTTTTCTAATATCGCCATGGATAGCAAGTTAATCAACAGCTTGCTCACGTTTTTCACTCATACCCCAATCAGCGATACCTACTGCGTTGAAGTTGTTGAGAACTGGTCACACGTCTCTTTTGCCTTCAAAGTTCACTCGAGGTTAAGGTGGTTTCGGAAAGTAAATGAGCTAAGAGTGTGTCTTGTCGAATGATAGTAAAGAACGTTCGATTTTCTATTACCCATTCGATGTAATTGAAAAGCCAGACAAACTAGCAGTTCCATTGACAAGGGCGGGCGAATGCCCATCTTGAGGGCGATCTAGCTATTTTGAGAAGGCAATCAGAGAATTTCGCGCATGATCTGAGTAGTGAAGGCTTTCCGTATGGCTTAGTTTACAATACAAACAAAAACAAAAAGAATCTACAGTAATTACTCATGAAATAGGAAGGAATGCAGGGTGCAATCATCCAGAGCAAGTCGTTGGCGTTACTACAACATTTGAACTCACGCATTGTCTCCAGTCACGAAGTGGCCGATACACAGAATAGTGAGAGGCAGTTGAACACTGAATAAGGGCATTGTAGCGACTGTGTCGGATGGTCATGATAATGGGGTTTACGGTATGAGGAACGCCCATGAAATTCATTTCTCAAAGTGGACAGAAAAACCTACTATCAATTGAGTATTAACAGCGTGCTTCATAATTATTGCCATGAAAGTCCACAGATAGCAATCTCTCATCTGTGCATCTCTCATTCCTTCATTGTGGTGACTATGCAGCTGGTTCTGATATACGAAAGTTTCAACCGGTGATCCAGTCCCCTGTCGGGAT